TCCTTGACTAGTGTAAGCACTGCTCAGCAACAACTAAAACATCGGTGCGTTATCAACTTTGTTCTCATCCTAAATCCAAAACACAGCACTGTACAGCTACTAGGAAGGAAATTAACTCTATCGCAGCCAAAACGAGGACAAAGAGCATCTAAGCTTTTGCAATGCTGAGGCAAACAGGCTGAGCTGAAAAGTCCTTGACTAGTGTAAGCACTGCTCAGCAACAACTAAAACATCGGTGCGTTATCAACTTTGTTCTCATCCTAAATCCAAAACACAGCACTGTACCAGCTACTAGGAAGGAAATTAACTCTGTCCCTGCCGAAACCAGGACACAAGGGAATACTGGCAGAAAGACAATACTGGATTAGAGGAACTCTAAAGAGCACTTGAAGAAATCATGACGATAACTGAAGGGTGACACTCACAAACCATTTCTCCTCTTCAACCCTGGTAACTACGGAAACATTAGCTCCACAGGAAAGTTAACGCTTACTATGACTTTTTGCAATAATCAATTGAAAAGATAATTTTTGGAGTAATAAATTAGTGCCCGTGGATAACTTAGCCCTTTGCATTCCACATAGGATTGCTAAATATTTTAGATGTGAATACAGCTCTGTTTGGAAATAGATTAAGATCAACAATTCATTCCAGACAGATATGTAAACTATGACTACGTAAGAACTTTCAGACACTGCTCAGGTTTTTGAAATATTTATGCTATGTCTTTTCTTTTTATAAATTAGACCAGATCACCATCGCTAAGCTCAATGACTGAGAAAATGCCATATTGACATAGGCTACTTTCTCCTGTAAAATACAGATTCATGGTCTTTAACATCGGTAGGGATGATTAGATTATCTAATGTGATCTACTGTATCATGTAGGGAAGATAGTTTCTACTGCTTTTGCCTTATGGAGATCAATAATGTGTTTTCTATTGATGCGTAACCTCAGGAAGCATCTGGGGTGAAGGGGTGTCTGACCCAAGAGTCTAGGTTCATTCCGGGTGCCCTAGGACTACTGAGACATCCACACCGCAGGACTACAGGAGACCTCCATCCTTCTGGTTTGGCACCTGGCAGCCTGGTGAGCCTAAGACATCTGAAACCTCTGGTTAGGCACCCCACTAACTGTCCCAGTCTGTGTCTGAAGACACGATGATATGCAGATTCTCTTGGTCGCTTTGAGAGTTTGTTTCAGTGTTTCACCTTTTTGTTGCTGTTGCTAATAAATTCTGTCTAATTACTCAATTGAATGTGAAATGTATTTTTGTATCTGTCTCAGAAACACTGCGTGCAGGTGTAAAATTGCCTGCTAATCCCTACTCACTATACCCCTGATTTCATACCTGAAGGCTGCATTTATTCTTTTTTTTACATCATACTGGGCATTTATATAGCATTGCTTCTCAGAATCACTGCTTTCCAGGGGACACCCTCCGTTTTTACATATTTGTTGTTACACACGTTGCCTTGCAATTGCCAAAATTTATATATATGTTATTAGAACGGGCCCAGGTCAAAAACAGTGATGACTGCGTTATATACCTGACCTGCACTTACTATGATTTAGAACTCCATCAGGCTAGATGATATAGCAGGTGTATCAAGTAGTAATTTAATATTTACTTCAACATCCCAAATAGATAAACATTTAATAGGATATAATAAATTTCCTAAGGCACTTTTGTACCATCCTGTAGAAGTTAATAGAGAATTATATCCTTTCTAAACAATCCAATCTTATAGTTCAAAACAGGGTTAGGAAATTTTTCATTCCTCGTAACAATAAGTTTTAAGAATAATTGTCACAGAAATCCACTTTTTTATTCCCTAGTAAATTCCGTAGGCTTGCCCTTAAGGACTAACATTAGCACATTCTGAAATGACAGCTCTGACGATTCCCTGATTTGGGTAAAGTCCGTATCTTGGTAAAAAACTGGTGATTCTGATCTATTTCAGGATGTTTCTTCCTTCCAGAAGTAATTAAGTTCTCCAGAGAAATGCTTTTTTCAAGTTTTACGAAAGGGCTCAGAGAATGACATTTTCATAGAAAATAGCACAGATGATACAATGAAATTAAACTACTTCTCTTTTGCAGCTGGCCACCTTTCCAGCTCTGTTGGCACCCAACGGGAAGTCCACGGGACTATTCACAAGGTAAAGTACGAAACAGCAGGTTTGGTTTGGGGCATGTAAATGGTAACAACCCTGCAAGTACAGTAGAACCCAACAGTCTGAGTTCCTTGCATGACTTAAAGTCTGGAGAGTCATGGGTCATCTTCAGAATTTTGTTTAAACGAATGAATGATCTTACAGGAATTATCATACATAAAAAACTACTATTTTGGAATTTTTATAGAACAAAATAAAGGTTTAAATTTTCTGTTTGTGTAACTCAGAAAAATACTTTCAATATACTTCTTTTAGGGCATGGACATCTCCCAAAAAGATCAGTGGCTTTAGCTGATTGTAGTGATTAGAAAATGGCAATAGCAGCCCAGATTCTAAAACTCTAAGGACTCAGGCTGAAATTAAGAAATTTGGCACGCAACAACACTATACAGCTTAGAGCTTTTATTTTAAAACTGATGTCTTACCAAATACAGCCATCTGTGTTCCCTCTGGGAAAGGTTCTACCATTCTGTTTCCATTGACGTGATGTTTATCTAGAAGGGGAAAAAAAAGTCAAAATGTAATAGAATATATGCTTTGCATAAAGCCAACTGTTTTTTTCTTACAGTTCTAGTGAAACCTGAAGTTTGATTTATGAAAGTCAACCTGTACAATTCACTAATATCTGGAACTTCACACTCTCTGAGTCCATTTTTCAAAAATACTGTCGACAAGTCCCAGGATATAAACTGGAGATGCATTTCAGTTTAGTGGGTAAGACAAGTCAGCTGATACTAACGTGACACACACATACAGAGCAATACACAGTAGCAATCACTGTCAAAGGTGGAGTACTCTTGAAAGCAACCTCCTCATGCAAGCAGAAAAAGCAGCGAAATCATACTTCTCTGTTGCTGCTAGGATATGTTGGTGCTCAACCACAAGCATTCTTGTATGACCAAGCACGAACTATGTGTATTTGCTGCACTAGAGCGGTGGGTTGACCTTGGCTGGCTGCCAGATGCCCACCCAGCTGCTCTCTCACTCCCCCTTATCAACAGGACAGGGGGAGAAAACCAGATGGAAAAACTCATGGGTCAAGGTAAAATACAGGGAGATCACCTACCAATTACCATCACGAGCAGTCCAGACTCAACTTGAAAATTAATTTAATTTATTGCCAATTAAAATGTGTTTGGACAGTGAGACACAAAGACAAATTAAAACACCACCTTCCCCCCACCTCCCCTTTTCCCCGGCTCAACTTCACTCCATTCCTGACTCTGACCTTCGGGCTCACGGGGCTGTTTCTCACACTTTTTTCCCCACTCCCCGCCGGCGGATCCTCGGCAGCCGGCTGGAGCTGGCGGTGTCGGGCATGGGGCAGCCCCCTCCTCACAGGGGCCACCCCTGCAACCCTCCCGCTACCAAAACCTGGGCATTTACACCCAATATAACCAGCAATCTGTTCGCTAAAATGACTATTTATCCAACATATCCTAATGCCACATCCATTCACGACAGACCATACAGAGTTCGTCCTTTACAGCAGTCACACCCTGGACTGTTTTAACACTATTAAATCACCGCCGCCATTGGAAACCACTTCAGCAGATCAAACGTTAACTGCTCTTCCATTAACAACGCTTAACCAAGAAGGGGAGAGGAGCACAAAATGCAAAACAAAACCCATCGTGCAATTGTCCTCAGTGACTTGGAGTCGGCAGCCCCAGCACCTTCCAGGTCCCGCCAGGTCTCCACAATGGAGATGTTTTCCATGCAGGACATTTCCCCTATGCTATGGCCAAATTTCTTCCATTTTTCTTAAAAAACTTGATGCATGACACAAGATTAGCAAAACCGCATCCGCTGTTTTCATGGAAACCGAAAAGCTGGTACATTTGAGGTTTACTTTAGTAAAACGGTCCTTTTCCAGCCACTATGGCTACCCACTCTCAGGTGAAAGACCATTTTCTCTAGAGAGCAGCTGGGCTCTGGGAAATCTGGTCTGTGGAAGCAGACAGATGAGCTACAGCTATCACGAGCTGCAGCTTAAGACTAAATTATATATCCTTACACAAGTGTACAGGAGGACATAAGACAGAACACCTATACAAAGCATTTGCATAAAAACCAAATCAAGACTGACACTTTCAATCTCAAGGAACACAAAGCGTACAGGAAAGTCCAATATTATGGCACCGCTGGTGCTCACAGGGATGATTTCTATGCAATAAAATAGTAGAAGCCTGGCTTTACTCCCTCCGTGACAAGATGGCTCCCAGGGGCTAGAAACTGCTCCGTTTCCAAACTAAACAATATATTCTTCACATCCCAATGTACTTCTCTTTCATCCCAATGTACTTTCCTGAGCATAAAGAAAATTCTACTCCTTGTGATAATATAGGCTTATCACTATTGTATAATCAGGGTTGTATATATAACCTGGAAGGGTTGTATGTATAGCCTGGAAATGAGCTCTCCAGCCTCCAAATAAAATAAAATATACAGATCCAGGGTTGTATGTATAGCCTGGAAATGAGCTCGCCAACCTCCAAATAAAATAAAATATACGGATCTGCAACAGAATATTCCCAATCCTTTTCACTGGCATCCCCACATTCATTTCTTGATCTACTAAGACTCATTGTCAACAATGGTGGAAAGAAATAAAATCGCCTGAACTCAAAACACAGGCTTCTGTTCACAAAATATTTTCCAGGGAGAAAGCCAAGAGATTTTCTCAGTACGTGCGCTATTTTCCTTCCTGTAGTACAGAACCTGGTGAGGAATAAAACAGGTCAAATTAAGAACACGGGATTGCCTTGCGAATTCTCTGAAGGTAATATTTTTCATTAGCAGGGGGGCATAGCACCGTACTAATCCCAGCTGGCATCAAACATTCATCAACAGTCAACGAGAAGGGAAAAATGGGGTTATCTGCAATTGGAGCAAGAAGTGCCATGAAGTCAATTGTTCGCATTTCGGAAGATTGAATGCCCTGTGCCACGCAAGCCAAGAGAGGGGCTTTAGGAAGGAAATTGTTGGGAGGTTCCAGAGTGGGAGTGATATGACCAGTGCCGTACAAGGTTTCAACCTCATTACCTACAGCTTGTATTACCAACATGATCTACAGCCATCTGAGAGGAGCGAACAGTCAGAAAAATTATGAAACATCGTGCATGATCAAATAAAATAACCCTGCCCTAGTCCTGATAGCTGCCTTCATTTAAAGAGTGAATGACACATATGATGTATGAAGTAGTTATCATTTCAAATGGTGAGGCTTTCAATATATTAAAATTAAAATTAAACTTTTAGAGGTGAGATGGGCTTGAATGAAAACAATATTTTCAGAGTTCTCAAGTTGTCTTCCAATGCCATCATACTTTTGTTTCAAAGATCTTAGACAGATAAAATAATCCATTTTCTTGTCATTCATACTCTGTTTTACAATTTTTCCAGTATTCTCTGCCCTCTGTCTAGATGCACTAACCAGTAAAAAATAAACAAAATTTACACGGACTTTCACAAAACATACGTTCAGCCTTAGGAAGGAAGTAACAACACATAAGTATAAGGAGCCTCTCAACAAGTACACTATTCAAAGAACATTGCCGTTTCTGGCTTTTTACTGAACAGTTTTTCTTGTGACAATATAAGCTTTCATTCTCACCTACAAATTGGATTGAGTAGCTCCAGAAAATCAGAAATACTTTGGCCCCATAGATTAGAAAAAAAGTAGAAGGACTTTCCCTGTTACTTGCCAACAGAAAGAATAAATGACTGTTCCAAGCTCATCGCCATTCCAGAGACACGGTCTTACAATAAGTAAGATAAAACCTATTGTTACAGAGACACGGAAAGATTATCAGCGAACACTGAACTGGCTGTGAGAAGTTAACTTCAGCTTCCTAGTGGTGAAAACAACACGTTTCACCCTGATACTGTCAATATTTACAGCGTTGATCCTTCAGTGGACTACAACAGCATTCAGGGACTTGGAAAAGCAGAACTGCGAGGACATTAATGTCTTTATGTTATCTTCTTGATCCTCTTGATCCTCGGGGTTTCAACAGAAAGCCAATTGGTAAGGAATAAATTTTTATTTCTGTTTTATTGATATTCAAACTGTCAGCATTTTCACGAACGTGAATTCACAACCAAAGAACGGGGGACTTCCTCTCAAAACTGTCGAATGCTGCTCCGTCCTCAACTGCAAGAACTCTACCGGCTTTCAAACTAAGCCTGTGAGATACCTGCAACATACTTTGCTCCCTGCTGAACAGAACTAGTATGCGCTGAAAGCAACACATATCCTGGAGGCCTTGACATTCAACTTTAGCTTCAGGCAAGGTCTGCTTTAGATAGGCGCAGTGTCTGGCCCTCTCTCCTTAGATTCTCTGGATTTTTACAGAAATAATCCTTCACAGATCCTCTGTACCTGTGAAACAGCATAATATATGGAAAGATAATCAAAAGTTGCTAAACGGGTCCTCAACATTTCTTTGGCATTATTCAGTCTTTGCAGCCTATCTCTCAATAGTTTCTAACATAGTCCTACATTTGCCCTTTGCTAAAGATTCACTAACTTCAAGTTCTGTCCACACACGGATTAGGCTATATCTGTACTAGTAAACTATTAAAATAAACAAGTCATATCTAGAAACTATTTGAGAGAGTGTTAATTAGCTTAGCTGAAATCATGTTAGATCCTATCCTAGCAATTTACCAGCGTGGATAATCAAGTTCCAGTGCCCGGACCTGTTCTCTGGCACATTTTAATTTATTAGTATACACTTCATTTATCTTCACAGTTCCATGTATGTCGATTGTATCGCACCTGTAATAGACAAATTTAACAACGAAAGATGTTCAAATGAGAAAGTTTTATAAAAAATATTTCCTTTCAAACCAGCCTGACTTAGGTTCTAAACAGATTTGCTGTTCTGCTATAAGCCCGGAGGAAATTTAAAGCTCAGGTAAATAAAAACTCACTGCCGTTAAGTTAGATTCAATGATAAAATGACTTTATTACATTGCCACAAAATTTATAGCACTTATAAGACTTTTAACGGAATCGAACTTGCAATTATTAGAGACTGAAGTTTGTGCTTCTTTCTTAAATATGCAAAATTAAAGCACTGGTCTAATGCAGAGCAGCCTGTCCCTCACAGCAGTACAGATGAAATGAAAGTTATACCAAGAATGAAATCAGCAGTGCAGAAAGTCTATACGAGGCATTTTGCATAACTGAAGATAGCCGAGAGCAACTCTAGGTTAAGATACCCGCAGTCATTAATGAACATCAGTTCTCTATTTGTGGACCCAAATGAAGCTGCTTGAAAAGGTTTGGCTTTCAGAGAATGCTGACCCAGTGCACTGAGTGGAAATCAGAAATTTTCTGGTCTCAAAATATTCAATCATCTCAAGCAATCATAGTAAAGATTTGAGAACTTTTATTTTTTATTAGTAAGAGATTCATATGTTCTTCATACTTATCTTTTGATTTTTAAACCATTAGGGCATATTTAGACTACATATCCAAAC